GGAGCCCCCCGGCCGCCCCCGGCCCGCGGGAACAGCGAGGGGCGGGCAGGGGCGCCGCCCAGTGCTCACCAGTCCGCGGCAGCTCGGGATGCCGCCGCCACCCTGGGGATCGCCGCCGCCGCCGCGCTGGGCCGGGAGTTTCCTGCCTGAGTCACTAGAGCTGGGAGCTGCGCAGGGAAACACCCTTCCTGCGGCTCCGGCCCCGCCTCCCTTCCCTGGCAGGAGCTGGGGGGTGGCCCCAGCAGCGCGGGCCCGGCCCCCTCGGCTCCAGCTTCCTACGCTCAAACCACCCCCGCGCCGGGCCCTGCAGTCTCCAAGCGTGCCGCAGGCGGCGGGGCAGGCGCCTGAGCTCGAGCCGGGCTGACCGACTCGGGGGCTAGGGCCGCGGAGAGGGGCACAGCCGCGCCTGCCGCAGCACCCACCTTACAGCAAGGGGCGGCTAGGTTTCAGTGGGGAGGCCATCATAGGGGATAGTCGTGTTGTCCTTTATCGATACAAAACCGGACGGCTTTTTGTCCTCTATTTTTCTCATCAAGACCTCTGGATACGGGCGGCTTGTGCCTCCTGAGTCTGCGGGGGCACCAGCGGGGCATGACGGGGACGGGACCCAGTCACCAGGCGGACTGGCGCAACCACTTTCAGGGGGAGCACTAGCACTCTCTGGGCAGTCTCCATTGCTCCAAAAGAAAAATAGAGGACGTAAAGGCAGCCAGTTTTGTATCAATAGAGTAGCAGAAAACCAGAATGTGCTCAGTGGTGGCTACACTAGGTTTGTTTTTTTCACAGACATTTGGGCTGGAAGGGACCTCGGAAGATCATCGAGTCTAACCCCCCGCCCAAAGGGCAGGAAGTCAGCCGGGGTCATAGGATCCCAGCAAGATAAGCATCCAATTTGCTCTTGAAGGTGTTCGGTGTAAGTGCTTGAACCACCTCCGATGGCAGGCTGTTCCAGACCTTGGGGGCTCGGACAGTAAAGAAATTCTTCCTTATGTCCAGCCTGAAACGGTCTCACAGTAGTTTATGACTGTTTGACCTCATCATCCCTTGGGGTGCTCTGGTGAACAAATGCTCCCCCAGATTTGGGAGAACGTTTGAGATAAGGAAAAACCTCCCTCCAGAGGAGGGTAGAAACAGGTGACCCAAACAGTGGTGGACTCTCCAGACTTGGAGGCTTTTAAGACCTTAGTAGACAAAGCCTTGGTTGAGATGATCCAGTTGGGGACAGCCCCACTTTGAGCAGGGGGTCACACTAGATCCACGTTTCTCAACCTGTGGGTTGTGATCCAAAAGTGGGCAATGAGAAAATACCAAAGGGTCGTGAACAAACTTTAAAAAGGGATCAACCAACTAAAAAAAAAATTCTTTTTAGGGGAAAAATGTGGGAAACTGTGGCTTTTCCCTTGCAAGGCTGGCAGAGCTGCAGCCTGCAAGGAGCTGCTTGGGGCCTGCCGTGCCTCACATATACTGGGGGGTGGGGGGTAGCAGGTCAGGAATGAGGGGCACTGGATTGGGACCAGCCAGTAATGTTTCCAAATAGGTCCTGGTACAAAAAAGGTTGAGAACCACTGGACTAGAGGACCTTTTGAGGTCCTTTCCCACCCTCATTTTCTGTTTCTCCAGTGAGACAGAAACCAGAAGCTGTACGCAGAGGCTGGGGCAGGTCAAGGGGGCAGCCAGGGGGTATTTACCATCGGTCCTGTTTTTCCCCTACACAAAATGCTTAATGTGCAGGAGACTCATTCTGTGCACGTTAGCACAGCAAGCGCAACCTGTACCACTGCACAGTAGATTTAATCTGATGCACATTAACATCACTAAAGAACCAGGCATCTTTGCTACTGTGCACTAGCACTGAATATGGCACATTAAGTTGGTACCCGTCATCACTGATACTAAACTTAATGCACTGTAATTAATGGTGCATTAATTAATTTGTAGATGCGCCCAGTTAAAAAGAAAACTAGAAGCTTCACTGTTTGGCCAGGGCAGGTCCAGGGAGCAGCTAGATGAAGGAGTCCTGAAGCCAATTGATTCCTGCCTAGAAATGCTGCTACTAACAGGCAGCTGGTTTAAAACTTTGGGTGGAGTAGGAATCGAAGCAGGATCCACCCCTGGCCATGTCTATCACAACACTCATGTTTCTCCAGTTAGAAACAAAGAAGAATCTCAATTAACAAGCTGGGGCACATCTAGGGAGAAGACAGAGTGAACTGGCTGGGATGATCTAGTTGGGGATGGTGCTGCTTTGACCTTCTGAGGTCCCTTCCAACCCTCATTTTTCTATGATTCTAGAGGTGTCTACTACAAACACCTCCTTTTCCCTAATTAAAAGAAGCTAGAAGAGTTCCTAATCGGCTGAGTGCCTGGAGCTGTGTTGTGCAGTTTCAGATGGAAGCAAAAACAAAGATAAGTTCCTTGGAAAGAGTTAAAAACAGTCTGCAGGGTTGTCAAATAAGAGCTTCCTAACCAGCTAACAGATAGCAGAGTGGCAGAAGAAAGGCTAACTTGCTTGGTGGAACAGCCAGACCCTTGAAAAGAAGAGGCAGGTTAACACCTGTGGAATACAGAATTTGGAAGGGGTCAGGTTGATGGATAATGAGGCATGAAGTCAAGTGACTCTGACAGCACTGCCTGACTAGAAATGCTGCTGCCACTGCCAGGCAGCTGGTTTTAAACTTTGGGTGGAGCAGAAATCAAAGGGGTGTGCAAGTGTGTCAGTGCAACCCCCTACATGCCCCTGCCCCAGATTTCCGTGACATCTCTGGGTTTGTGATTCATGAGTAAGTGCTTGCACAGCTAACATTGCAAATATTAAGCAGCACCCCTCAACACCCTTAACTAGGAGTCACGAGATCTTAACAATCAGCAACTTACAGCTCTGGGATAAAATCTGGGGAAGTGGGGACAGCCATTCCTCCTGGTGGTGCATGTTTTTGGATCAAATTGTATACCAAAAATGGTACCAGGTGTCCTATTCCCCACCACCCCTTGACACTAAGTTTGCCTAAATCTTCACATTACTCATGGCAGGCAAGTCCCAGTGCTGCAGACTTTCATTCCTTTTCAGCTTTACACATATTGAGTGTTTCCTGTTTAATCGGGCTGTGCAGGTGCACAAAGTCAAGCACAAAGGTAATGCTCCACCCTGCAGAAACTGAAGTCAGACCCTCAGGACAGTGTAGGGAGCAACCCAATGTTGGCAGATCCACTTCTTTACTTTTAGTGTAAACCTCCATGTGAATTTTTCTGCCACTTTGAAGCAAGTAGTTTCTCACTCCACCACATAGGGTTTTTTACATTTTTGTTAACAGACTTGATGCTTATATTTACATGTATAACACTCACTTAGCATTTTCGTTCTTCCAGAAACCTTCTGATTTTGTAAAAAGATGAGTCAACTTTCCCAGACTGTGCAGAGTGCTCAGGAGTCAGCCCAATGTGTTGCAGCAATCCCATTTAGTTCCACGGGCCTCTTTCTACATGTAAAATTGAGCACATGGTCAGCACCTTCAGGCGTAGAACAAGAGTGCCTTTCTCACTTCATGGGATTCAGGAGAAGGGTCATGTTGATGAGGAACAGAGATCTCAACTGTACAGCCATGGGCTAGGAACTGTACCTTCTCAGCATGGAAAGTGTGTAGTACACCGGGGCAGAAATAAAGCTAAATTGTTTCAGAAATGACACGCGCACACACACACGAATGTATACATCTATTCTGTCTGAAATAATAATAACATATTACATACTAGCCCTCAAAATGCTTAGTCCAGGAATTACCAATACTTTTCTCATTCAACATTCCCATTCTTTCCTTGTCCAAGTTAATTTTCTCTCTCCATACCCTAATACACAAATAATACAGTAAGACATTTCCATTGATGCACTTATTTCTGTTTCCAAGGACTTGTTCTCAGTAGCGAAATGGGAAGTACTAATGACCGTGTTGTCAAAGAGACATACATTTCAATTAATCATAGGCTTAAGGGCTTTGCTCACTGCCCTTGAAGTAGAATCTCCTATCCCATCTTATTTTTCTAACATATATAGATGTTAATACCATGTGCCCTTACTATCTCCAGCAGATTACAATTCATAACTGAACTGAAGTGGTTACTTTTTGCTACACTGGAAGAGATAAATTGTAGCTTGGGAAAGGAAAACAAAGGGAAGCAAGAGGGCTAGAAAGGGAATCCCTTACAGGTATACAGTTCCAAAAAAAAGGGAAAAAGTAGAGAAGGTACATTAATGGAAATACAGAAAACTAATCAGAGACTCAAGCCTGACGCACTCGTTCAGGGAGCTCAAAATAGTGGCAATAATTAAAAAGAAAGGAAGTAACCAAATGGGGCACAACAGGCATCTCTGAAAATTCTGTGCAGTAGCCTCTCCATGTCCACTTTTGTTTTCTCCTTTGTTGATCACACTTCGTCCAATTTCTTGAGCTCTCTCTCACTTGGCACCTCCATTTCTCCTGCCTTCCATTTCTGGTTGGAGTCCCCCAGGATTCTGTCTTGCTCCTCTCTTCTCCATGTCCTATGTCTTGTACCTGAGTGACTTCATTTACTTGTCTTCAATTACCATCTTTCTGCAACTGTCTTTTTTCCATTCTGGACTCCTTCCCGTGTTGTCTTGAAGTTGCCACTTAAACTGAGCATAACACAGAACTCCTCTCTTCGTTACTTCCTTGCTCTCCATTGCCACTGCCAGTTGTTTTTTTTTGCCCTTGAGAGCACCCAGAATACCAGCAGCACAAGAGAAAAGCACAGTAAGCCTCTTCTCACTCTCCACTTTTCCATTTTCACCTTTGTTGATCACACTTTCTCCAACTTCCTGAGCAGTGATTTCAGTGTCTCACTTGGCACCTCCATTTCTCCTGCCTTCCATTTTGGTTGAAGTCCCCCAGAAATCTACAGGAGACATTCCTCTTGCATAGAGGAACCCCTTGCAAACAGAAATAAATCTGCCTTGTGGGGAAAAGGTGTAGCCCTTCCTGCAGAGTCCCAGTGATCCTGAACTGAGATAAGCAGATTCTGTTGGTGCCAAGACTAGAAGCAGAACAAGAAGTCACTTCCATTCTCTCTGTCCTCCGCATACATTGGTCCTACATCAAGCAAAGCTACTGGGCCAGCACCTTTAAAAAGAATCACATCAACTGAAGTGTTTGGTACATACTGCCTCTAGC